CAACTGTCATTGTGTAAATGTCACCCCTCTGCAAAAAGTTCCGATTTTTTTCAAGGAAGATAACTCTCACCCGGATCGAAGTGATTGTAAAATGTAAAATAAATTAATTATAAAGCCATTGTGTATATTTTGTTCAATTTCCCATTCTATATGTATAGATCTTTGTGTCCTGTTTGCTTTTAGCTTGTAGATAATCACTTTTATCCGTACAAATTCAATAAAAAACACTTTGTGTAACATGTGTTACATATTTTGCGATAAATAAAGTATTTGTAGGGTTAATTAGAAATGCTTCTTTTCATTCTATAATGGTTGTTATTGTTCCGAACAATGTCACACACAGAAAAAAACGGAAAATATTAAAATTGACGAAAATTCAATTTTTTAGTATTTTTTCCAAAAAAGTCCCCAAACCATCGGAGTGTTTAGATTTTCATAAAATCAACTCTACATAGTTGCATAACCATTATATGAAAGTTTCAACGAATTTTGCTGGTTAATTGCGAAAGTGTGGAGCCACCTTAAAGAACTGAAAGATAGCCTCGTGTTACTCAGAGACGTTAGTTATTGTTACCTTACATAATTGTTTTATTCCGACCGATTTCCACCCGATAATCTGACGTGAACGTAAATGATATTTTTTCAGACGTACCACGTTCTACTACTATATTGTATTGCATGAAATAGTCGTGCATACAGCATATAAATATAGCATTCGGGCATCCTGGACTGTCAGTGCTAATCAATGTACAGTAAAGTAGTTAGCTGCCGATCGACAAGTTAATCCCCAACGCTCATCCGCGCGGGGTGGGCGGTCCCCCGCGACTTTGCTCAGGTGATTTGTCGGTGGGGCTTTAATCCCCTTCGCCTGCGTGACGACTGTCGCCCGCACGGGGTTTCAGTATCAAATCACCTGAAGTGTACTGTACCTCATAGCTGATATTGGGCCCTGTCACGGGGAGACTATTTTCATACTTATCAAGGACAGGGTGACTGTGCCTATTGATTGGATTATATCCATAGCCGTGGGGTTCCTTGGGGAGATAAGTCCAGCAAGACTAAAAGCTGTGTATATTGAGGCCTAATCAAACACTGGCCTCCACTACTAACCTCATCTCCAAAGGGGTACGGTAGGAATGTACTTAACAACATATTGTCACTTAAGGGGTTACTAAACAACTTGTCGCTCAATTCTAGGAGGGGTCAATGTGTTATCTATTTAATATTTAATGGGAGTTCTGACCTTCACAAAATATTGTTCACTTAAGGGGGGATCTGACCTTCACAGAACACTGTTCATTTAAGGGAGTATTGACCTCCCCATTAATCCACCTCTGGAGGGCCGACATCCGTCAGGCCGACTTCAAGTGCCAACACCAAGGTGTTTCTCATCATCAGACTTCTTCCTGGTCATAACCAGGCCCTAGGAGGGGCCTTCATAAAACGGAGAGGAGTGTGGTGAATTTCGAAGAGTTATCTCCCTTGGACCGTGGACCATACCGACACGAGATCTCGTGAGCTACGCGACAACAATGCTGTGACATATTGGCGCGGCCTGTTAATATCTTGAACTACAACATACAACAGGTGAGTGATTTTCCTCCACTTTGTTACTTGATTTCAGGACTGAGAGCAGTTACAGCTACTTGTTGTGACGGTGTGTGATAAACACACACCGAATTCACGACACATGTTAATATACCATGGGTAAGCGGGCTATGGATTGATGTCCAAAGTGTAAATGATTGAGAGTAATTTTGTTCCATAAGAGAACAGTAAATTGACATTTAAATATAGTAATTTAATTTATTTCCGTCGTTTTTGGTATAGTAAAAAAAATATGCGATATGTATAAAATCTATCCCTCTGCAAAAAGTTCCGATTTTTTCAAGGTAGACAACTTTCATCAGGATCAAAATTGTTGTAAAATGCAAAATAAATGAATTATAATGACTTTGTGTGTATTTGGTTCAATTTTTCACTCTTTTTGTATGAAATTATTATGTGTCCTGTTTGCTTTTAGCTTGTATTTAGTAACTTGTATCCATACAATTTCAACAAAAAAATGCTTTTTGTAACATGTTGTAGATATTTTATGATAAATAAAATATTTGTAGGGTTGATTAGCAATGTTTCTTTTCAATATTTTATTGTTGTAATAGTTTTGAACAATGCCACATGCTCTAAAATGTGAAAGTGTTGAATTTGACAAAAAATCATTTTTTTCAGTATTTTTTACAAAACAAGAGGCCCAATAGGCCTGCATCGCTCACCTGGTATAAATCTCATACTTGTAACCTTAAAAGTGATCTAAAATAAAGCTACAGGCAAAAAATCAGTATTTATGATTAAAATTCATTCAAAAGAACCTGTTAATTTTTTTAAAAACATTAAATTTCACCCCTATTATTGAAAGTCGAACAAAGTCATTATGTTGAACAAATTTTATTTGCCTTTCATCTCAGGATGCAACTTGCAAAGTATTAACATCCTGGGACCCATGGTTATTCAGAAGAGGTCGTTTAAAGATTTTAAACAAATTTGACCCCTGTGACCTTGAATATAAGTCAAAGCTAAAGTCATTCACTTTAACAAACATAGTAGTCCTTGATCCCAGCATGCTACTGACTAAATATCAACATCCTGAGCCTTTTGGTTATTCAGAACAAGTTCTTTAAATATTTTGAACATATTTGCTCCTTGTGACCTTGAATATGATTCAAGGTCATACATTTAAACAAAATTGGTAGCCTTTGATCCAAGTATGCTACTGACTAAATATCATCACCCTGGGCATTTTGGTTATTGAGAAAAAGGTTGTTTAAAAGTTTTTTAAGACAATTGACCCCTGTGACCTTGAATATAATTGAAGGTCATTCATTTGAACAAACTTGGTAGCCCTTCATCAATGCATGCTACTGGCCAAATATCATCACCCTGGGCATTTTGGTTATTGAGAAAAAGGTTGTTTAAAAGTTTTTTAAGACAATTGTCCCCTGTGACCTTGAATATAATTGAAGGTCATTCATTTGAACAAACTTGGTAGCCCTTCACCCAAGCATACTACTGGCCAAATATTATCACCCTGGGCATTTTGGTTATTCAGAAGAAGATGTTTAAAGTTTTTAATATATTTGACCCCTGTCACCTTGAATATGGGTGAAGGTCATTCATTTGAACAAACTTGGTAGCCCTTCACCCAAGCATGCTACTGGCCAAAATATCATCTCCCTGGGCAGTTTGGTTAATAAGAAGAAGATGTTTAAAGTTTTTAACATATTTGACCCCTGTGACCTTGAAAATGGGTTAAGGTCATTAATTTTAACAAACTTTGTAGCCCTTCATCCCAGTTTGCTTCTGGCCAAATTTCATCACCCTAGGCCTTTAGGTTATTAAGAAAATCATCTCCACATAGTGACATAACCATTATGTGAAACTTTCACTGAATTCTGCTGGCTAATTGCGTTTTTTTTATGATTAAAACCATTTAAGATTATTTCTGTCCTATTGTATTGTGTGTTATAGTGGTAAGCTATGTCTTGAGTAAGGCTTCATTTGTATCACTGAATATTTTGTAAAATGACATTGCTCTGGAAATACACCATATGAGCATCGTTTGCAATTAACGTCATGCTACCACATTTGGAACACTACTCAAATTGGTACACGGTCAATAAATGGTTCGAATAGTACTTTAAAATTAGAAACCAACATTTTTCTCGGACAATATAACAAAAGAAATATTTAGCAACATTTCAACCAAATAGTTTTGTGTTCAAGAACATTTTAAGAGTACACCATGACTTCAAAGTAAACATATCCGAAAACCAGTAAAAAGGATGTATGTCGACGAAATTTTCGAGGATTTTAAAGGGGTTAATTATAAGCATGTTTTAATGTAGATTTCTGGTGTTTATAACCGGAAAATACAAAAGTGCATTTATGCAATTGTAGTTCAGTATCGTATTTATAAAAGCAATATATTTTGTTGCAATCGCCACATCAACTAGTAGAATTAAAAACAGGCTTCATAGCCTATTTGAGTACTAATCATGGCCGAAAAACTGACATAATCTCACTGCAAGTTTAGCATTTTATTTGCAAAAACAAATGACTTCGTATCAAAACTTTTTCTGAAAATGAACCACCATGGGTAGACTTTGTCAAGAATCAAGACACATTTGAGATACAAGATCTGAATTTTTAAATATCACTGAAAAACTGTCAAAATTGTCAAATGTGGTAGCGTGATGCTAGCATGAAATGGTCTACAGAAAATCTCCTGTGTCTTGCTTATTAAGATTTGTTCGCTATGTGTAAACCACTTAAATAATGTGCATATGTAGTGATTTATGTCCTTATCTCTTGTATTGACACCATCGAGTTATAACTTACAGTAGGAAGATTCAGTTATGTTCCAACTTTCACTTTACAAATTACATTCTCCTTACTTACCATGTATTCAATTTCTGCTGCAATCACTTTCTTCATCTTGTATTTGAACTTTTTGCCCGTTGTTTTTCTGTTGTGAGCTACTCTGACGATGCCATCATCTAGTTTTGTTGATAAGGTGTCAGTGATAAATAGTTTCTTTGTCTTGTCTAGAGGTTGATATTCTGCAGAGAAAAATGCTCAAATTCATTAAACTTATTTAAATAAGATTGATCCAAGAATCTCAAAATAAGTCAATTATCATCATTCATAACACAAAAATATTAACAAGTCTGATCGGTGACTGAATCAGAGTATATCTGGCATGAATCCTGAAAATCATGAAAGAAATATAACGGGATGGCCGCAGAAGAAACGCAGGGTATATCAAGGTAGATCCGCCAGCCTAACCTGGATGAGCCATCTGCGACTATCCAGCGGTCATGGTAGATGGGGATTAAGTCAGGACAGAGAAAATACAGTATATACTGTATATTACTACTGCCATGTATGTGTCTGCTGTGGCAACTGTTCCTGTCTACGGTACCACAGATGTACAGTTACAATCGGCACAATGAACAGAAAGCGCTACTTGAATTTCCCGAACGGAAAAGAAATAACGCCAGTACATACTCGGGGGGTGGGGGGGAAACGTCTTGTAGTGGATATTTAAAAAGAAACGAGTTCCACAAGATCTATCTAAAATTACCCATTTATACCTAAAATAAAGTAGCATTGCCTTGTAACGTGATAAACATTTCGTCTTTGTCCAATATTGGGGCAACATTTATGTACCATGTCCAAGTGTCGGTCAATTTGACTAGATTACACGATTTCCCCTTTAAACAATCTAGATATAATTGAAAAGGACTGGTACGTTAATTAACACATCATTATAAGTGTCTCCGTTTAGTATTCATTGTATAAAATGTTATCACAGTTTGCTGATCAACATAAGTTTCTTGAAAACTCTGCCGAGGCGGACAAGCCGACTGTCCCTACATTGTGAAATCACCCAAAATTATTGGTTGGTCTGAAACGTCAATCACACCTCAGCACAGTAGTCCTCCTATCATAATGGGTGGAGCTTACGCATTTTTTTTTCTTTTTTTTTTTCATAAAAATGAAAAATAAAAAAGACGGTTTTATTAAATGATGACCAGAATGAATATATTGGTCCTTACAAGTCTACACTTCAAATAAATGATTAAAATGGTTACTNCGTGCCACAAAAAGTGGATACTTGGGCGTAATTCTAACTGTACCTGTAACATGGACTTCGCTAATTTCAAGTTCAACAGGAGACAACAAGTATTCGTATTATTTCGTGTGTAACTATTGCAATACAAAATTATAAGTTTTAAACCAACTACGTTTTTAAAGTTAACTGTATTCCATTTCTTTTATTATGATCCCTTTGACACTGTTAGGTTTCAATTTAAATTCAACTAATATACTGTATTCCTTCACGGATGGTCATGTATAAATCATATATATACCAGAATTGTATATACATGTACATGCACAGTATCATCGGAAGACTAGCTCATATTCCTACAAGAATATTTCAGTTTTTATCATATTTTCTTACTTTTAACAAATATATGTTGTTTCTATGCATAATATATTTTGAAGAAGAAAAAATCAATCGCAATAAGTCCATGCCGGTCTTGAGATTTGATCCACGGGTTCTGTCGATGTCTTTTTAAAAATTCAAACTAACGTTGTGATCCATTTTCATACGTTGGTATAGTGTCAAAATGATATGTGTTANCATATTTATTAACATGCCCTCACATACCTCCACCTTCATCGGTGATTTAGTTGGATCTAAACACAATAGTTTCAGAATAAAATATGCAAGTTCATTTTGAAGCAATTTGTTCACCTAGTTTCTTCCAAGTTTTTTTAGCAGCGCCCATATTAAATTTAATTTTTAGCTTAGCTTTTGCTATAGATAAGTACACTTAGACGAATAGACATACAGCAAGACCAATTTCCATCATCAGTGCAATATTCATTACCATACCGACAAAGACTTTGTTTATATTTTACTTTGTTCCTCCCTTTCGGATAAAGCATGCCATCCTCCCCACCTAATGTAAGGAATGTATTATTAATACATAATAAAATTCCGACGAATGTCATTTCACACAAAACTTTTATATTAATATAAAATGCCGCCGCCGTATAGTCTGTAGACAAATCCGCATCTATCTGTTGATCTCGCGTTCAGAACCAAATACTATAAACTTCATATCGTCCGTTTAAGAATAATAATACATATACAATTAAAAATACAAATGGAAAATAATTAGGAAACTACCTTAGAAAACTTCACACGTGCTCAACAAAAGTGATAACCAGCATCCGATTTCCATATGTGTATAAATGTACATTTATTTCATTTCGACTATTACAATAGATATGTATTATAATAAATAAGATAATTTCTAACTGTTTTTTCAGGTAACAACAATGTACGGGTAAACAAGATCGAACTTATATCACAAAATTGAAATTTGTCGCTTCACTAAGATTTACCCAATCTAAGTTGCTAACTATCAGCGATAAGAGAATGAAGTAAAAACAAAAATGAACTTAAGGCAGAGAGTCTGAGCATACTGTGTTATTTCTCCAATGAAGAAGTGTGCCAAGTTGTTCTACATTCTATTTTTACTTTCTGTTAATCAGATTATGTGAAATTTTCTATTCCTCTAACAAGAATTCCACGGAAGTGGATGTGTCGCCTGCACAGGAAGCTGGGAGATTACGAAGAAATAGATACACTTTTCATTTCAAGAAATAATGTTAAAAGTAAGCAATAATCATAGATTATGTTTTTGGATGGCATCATTTTGTTATATAATCTGTTATTCTGGGAAGAATACTCTGAGTTTTAAGGAACTTGCTATGGATACTTATTGTCTCAATTCCAAGTTTAATTTGTATGATTTGTCGGATGGTTTCCCATAAATAAATGAATACACTTGTGGATTATGATGTTAAACAGCTAGTGTTGTCAATAACATTTGGAGTAACACGGCATGTCAGAGGTATACACGGTGAGTCAAGTGGTAGATCGAAGCCGTCCAGTATAGTTTTAGTGAAGTTTCTATTTATAGTGACCTTGACCTTTGACCTAAGGACCTGAAAAGCAATCCCAAGCAAGCCCTTTTGTAAGGAAGCACTGCATGAAGTTTGAGTTTGATCGGCCCAAGGAAACTCAAGTTATCGCACGAAAACAGATTTTCTATTTATAGTAACAGTGACCTTGACCTTTGACATTTGGACCCGAAAAGCAATCACAAGTAAGCACTTTTGGTAAGGAAGCACTGCATGAAGTTTGATTTTGATCGGTCCAAGGAAACTCAAGTTATCGCACGAAAACCTCTGTTCGGACGCCGACATAGCAATACCTATATGTGTCACCAGCTTTTCGCAGGCAACACAAAAATGAGAATTCAACAATTTGTTTACCTTTTCCAGAGAATTGAGTGACTACTTTTTAATAAAGAAAGTAGTGAAAAATTATCTCTGGATTATTTCATTAACTCTTTTCAAAATTATGTTACGGACAATTAGATCTTTATATAGACATCGTACAACTCTGATCATACATGTATACCAATGACCGTTGCAATTCTTACCAGATGATTTTTTGTTAATTTTCCGCGTTAATTGCCTTCTCAAAAAAAAGTACGGTTATATAAATAATGAAACTAGTTATCGTAACGATTACGTATTGTTAGTATCATATAAGAAATTCTTGTATTGCAGTTCTCTTTAAAATCGCCATTCCTATACAGAATATACAGCCCCAGGCTCCAGAATTCAAGGTCTCTGGATCAAATTCCCATATTTTGTGGAAATTTGTCGATTAGATTTAAGCAGACATAGTTTAAGCCTCTGATTTTAATTTTGGAACAAAGTTAGAAATGTATTTATTGCGATTTTTTATTTTCTTTTACTTTACTTACGGAATAAAGGTTTGAAATACACGTATATTAGATATGTTTTTACTTATCAAAATTATACATATAGCTAGAAAGCTACGCGCGTGTACAATGAAAATAATAATAATAAACTACGACATGAGATTGCAGCAAGATTTGTTCTTCAACTTCTTGCGTAATTGTCACAGTTCACTTCATCAAATAATCTGGTAGGCTTGTCCAATATTTGAGTCACTAACGTCCATTTTTACTAGCCAAAAAAATAACCGGCGCTTGGACTCTTCTAACTGCTAGACATAAAAATTGTTCCAGATTGTTGTATAATTTTCAAATACAGTTTCCTGTTTATACATTAAAGATAAATATATCCAATACATTAACACACGAGTAGAATGGTAAAGCTAACCATGCTTGACAACTTGAGACACCTGTTAGCAGGCAGCTAGCTACCTACTGTGGGTCAAGGGTCGCCGCCGCCGGTACCTGTAGTGTTGCAAACACTTTTTACCCCTGGTTAGATTATGGACTAGCCACAATCAGTCACATTTGGACGAAATATTAAATTCTAGGGTTGAAAGCATATCTCCAAATCATTCTGTGTTGTGTTTGTTTTGTAACACCTGTCAAGTTCGAAGGCCAACCGGACACACGGCTTCACTACGCTAATTGGAGACGAGATGTTTTGTTTTGTTTACTGGTCCATAATATATCCCCTTCAAACAAAGTGTACACACAAACAAGAGGCCCAGAGGGCCTGTATCGCTCACCTGAATATTTAAAAAATAATTGGTATGAAGTAAAGATATAGCACTCCATGGTAGGTGCTGTAAATACATATGAAATTTCAAAAAGATCCCTCCAGTACTTGAGATATAGCGAAAACAAACTTCAAACAAAGCCCCACCCCTATGCCCCCAGGGTGTCATACCCACCAATTATACAAAAATGAGTCCCCTTGACCAAAGGGTTTGTTCTCCTTTCTCCCACTTTTTAAAAACCCATAGAGGCAGTAATGTTGTGATAGCATATAGTCTGTTTTATATATTTTTTTACCTGTGTTCTCCCACATTATCTGTAACTGTCATATACATGTAGCTTTGATATAGTCTATTTTCATCATTTTTAGACATTTTTTTCATATCATATACCATTTTCATCAGCTAGATCATACAAAACAGTAACGTGAAATCCACAAATATTTCATACATTTTATAAACTTAACAGTATTA